GTCAAGTAATTTCGTTCCGCGTTTGACAACGTCCGACTAGCGTAGACAATCACGCGCTCTGTACTCCATTGTCGTTGGTCCAGTACCGTGCCAAGTACTGTATTACCGGCGTCCGTGTTAACTTCTGTTTCGGCCGGTTTGTTGAAGTCGCCAAGAATCGGTGGCGACTGGAGTCGTCTTTTTAGCTCGTCACATGCATGTTTTTGCTCTTCTCTCTATTCGAAGTTCACGACAGAAGACGCTGTGAACTTCGAATAGGGAGAAGAACAACAACAGGCGTTTGACGAGCTAAAAAAAAAACTGCAGTCGCCACTGATTCTTGGCTACTTCGACCAACCAGCCAAAACAGAAGTTCACACGGACGCCAGCAATACAGGAATCGCCGCGGTCCTGTATTACTGGCGAGGAACTTCACGGCGCTTTCCGTCGTGAACTTCGAGGAGGGGAATAGGCGTCAAAGAAGAATTGGCGTCGCAAGGAGCGTAACAGAGCTGCAGGATGGAAGCACTGTGGTACTCGTGACGAACTTTAAACAGAAGGCGCAGCACCTCACGGAATGTGCCTCTGTATGCCACGTCGAGGAACTCCGGAACGCAACCGAAATCACCACCATTTCCGATGAGCTCACGCCAGCCGTACACAACACCGCCGCCGAAGCTCAACGTTAACCCCAAGCTCAGTGCCACGGAACGACGACAGCTCAGAGACCTCTTCGCGGAATTCAGCGACTGCTGTGCGACGACGTCGAAAGTGCGCCAAACAGCAGTTGCGAAACATCGCATCGGTACCAACGACGATGCGCTCCCTGTGCATCTTACGCCATACCGGGTAATTTCAAAGGAAAAAGTGGCCATTTATAAACAAGTTCAATAAATGCTCAACGATATCATCATGCAGCCTTCAAGCAGCCCGGGGGCCTCTCCAGGCGTACTGGTGGAAAAGAAGGACGGAACGCTTCGATTCAGCATAGACTACCGGCGACTCAACGCGGTGACGAAGTATGACGTGTATTCGCTCCCCCCATCAACGAGACACTGGACCGGCTGCGCCTCCCCCGACACTTGTCATCGATGGACCTGAAGAGTGGCCACTGGCAGAGCGAAGTCGACAAACGGGACCAGCAGATAAAAGCGAGTTTTAGTAGACCGTATTTCCCCCTCCGGTAGCCCTCCGCCACGAGGAAGCCGCCACTGCGCCTGCGTGCCGATTGCCTTGGCTGTAGACCATGTTGAATTAACCTGATACTGGGGTAGAGAAGAAACATCAAAACGTAGAAGGGACAGAAAATAGACAAGACGACAGAGAGGGCGTGTTATGATTCACAAGTGTGAACAGTGTTTAGAATAGTAGGGGAAGAGATCCTTTTGTTCAAGTGTGAAAGTGGGTGGATGTTGCCTTATCGCGTCGACCTGTAAAGGTTGTCAACGTTCTCGCAAATTTATGGTGAAGACTGTGGCGCTTGAACTATATAGACTTTGACCTTTTGTGTTGGTGGAGAGGACCTTGAGACTGAGACTATATAATTACGTGGACTAAATAAACAAGTTAGCTGAGTTTGAGACGTCGTTCTGTCTATTTTCTATCCTTTCTACGTTTTGATGTTTCTTCTCTACCCCAGTCTCAGGTTAATTCAACATGGTTAATATTCACCAGCTCGCCTGCACTATTGCGATTTTTTTGGCTGTAGAGTTCCGGTAGTGGAGGGGCTTAGCGGAGGGGGAAACACAGTCTACTATAACTCACTAATTTCGTGCGGAGGACTAAGTGTTGCTTGCTCGGCCCTGAGCGCGGCAATAGGATCTAGCACGGTTTTGCTGAAATGCAGTTTGCACTCGACCGGGTCGGGTCTGGCTAAGTCTGTCCCAGGATCGCTCAAAACTTTGCTGACGTTGCTAATCACCCAGATGTTATGGACTCATCGTGCTGCCCGCTGGGCGTTCAACCGATCCATGGCTGATTTTCAGGCCGCTCGTCAGTCAATTATTTTTTCAACCTGGAAGAACTTAAATCCGAAGAGCATATCTTCGCGTTACTTTTACCGATGGTAATGCTTAATTAGTCCAGCTCTCGGTATTTAAGGAAGCGTTAACTCATTTTAAAGTTCGCTTGCCTTCGCATCGTTCTTTTTTGTCTCCGAGAGGATGTTGTAAATCTCTAATCCTGGGTATTGGCACAATATTTTCCTAAATAGTGAACATTGGTAAGGATGAATGTCTCGGCAAAAGGTCACGTGCGACCGTTAGGTTTATGTTTTACTGAGAAATACCCTATCGTTTTTTTTTCGAGGTTCAGCTTCTCATTTGCGTTTTTTTCTTCTTTGTCATCTTTCAGTTTTTTCTGAAACTGAACGATGACATGAGAAGTAAGAAATGCATGACGTGGAAACTCAGGCATGTCTTCTATCGATCTACAACCTTTTGGATTGCAAAAATTGCCGTTGACAATGTCGAATCACAAATTTCCAAGCACATTCTGTGAACATAACGAATCAAGCCTTTCATTTGTTAAGTTGTCTCTGACTATAGAATAGGACCCCGCTGTTCGTGCAATATATTCCTCTTCCTTGCTAAAAGGCAACGAACTACGCTAACATAATTTTTAAATGTTCTTGTTCCTTCATTGTATTGTCCTTCGGAGTATCCAGAGTATGCATTACATGATGGGGATTAAGTGATATAATTCACCTATGTTATCAAGAAACATAAAATAAAACAAAAAAACACAAGCAAGTGAAACCTGATTCCTGTCAAGTAAATGGTACGGTCTGTAATGTGATAATAAGGTGTAAAAGTTATAACTTTACACAAAAGGCTTCGTTATTTAATGTGCTCGCTCTAGACTGATATAACTAAGTTGTAGTCAGGGTCAGCGTTAAACAATTGTTGGCATTGGTATTTAAATAAAGTAATATCCATTGCTAACGGAAAGCATGCCGTTCGCCGTTTCCGCTGGCGTTACTGAAATCATGAAGAACAAAGATTGGTGCACAACGTGGATCGTGGCGCAGTGTACTTTATAACATTTGCCAGGCTGTGGGAAGAGTGTCGTACAGGAAAATATACTGTATTTAAGAAAGGGATCGTAACACTATGCTATCATTGCAAAACCAAAGGAAAATCGTGAAGTAACCCGTTGACTACCGGATGTTCTGAGCGTCATTTGGGCGTTAAATATTTCGCATAAATAAACCAATGAACGGAATGTAATTAGGGTATGCATAATAAATTCTCTAGGTATCTCATTAATTATTAGTAAATTACACGAGCGTAGGTTTCTGAAGAAAAAGAAATCAAGCTAAAAAATCCTGAGCTGCTATTCCTGAGACAGGGAGCAAAACGGAAAAAAAATCGCCTGGATTATGCTGCCTCTCGCAGAAGGTACCACACGTGCTCGTGTCTGCAGTACTTGCTATCGGGTACTTATATCAAAAAGCGTTCAAGTTTTCAATGCGAAAGCATTTACTGTCTCATAGAGGGAAGCCGGTGAAGCCGGCGAAAAACAGTAACTAAATTCCTATTGGCTTGGCGTTGGGAATGTACGAGCAACGCCCAGCCAACTAAACGAGCAATAAATTCCAGGCAACGGAACGAGCAATAAATTCCCATTGGCTGCGACGCCTCATTTCAATGCTTCGTGACGGTATTTGGCGGGGCCGCTCAAGGACGAAAATGAGGCGCCTCAGAGATTAAACACAAATGAAAGCACAGCAATGCAGATGCATCGTCACGGAAGCCGTGGAGGCGATGGGGTTCACCACGCCTACGCAGTGGGGGAGTGTAATGTCACAAAGGGCATGTGGCTCCATAGCAACGGCGTCATCGTTGCTAAGGAGCCAGCTGAACTGCTGCCGGCCCAGCTTGAGACTCAGACGTGGCGCGCTGCTCGTAGGGATGCGCTGCGTCTAGGAGTGCTTTCGCATTCCTGCACGCAAGCAGTCTTAAGTGTCTCTAAAAAAAAAAAAAATAATTTTGTGCGAACTGTAATGAGCATCGCCAAACAGATATTTTTTAGCATTTCCCTCCATGTGCACTAGAACAGCAAGATGTTTTGGTCTTAGTTTAACTTGAAACGGTCTTTGTCTGGTCAGGCGCGTATTAAGATTTTGGAGAGACCCAAAATTAAAGCCGAGATAAACGTGAAGCCGCAAAGCTCGATGCTTACTGCCTGTAACGGGGGTCACGTGACCATAGAGATAGGTGAGGAGGAGCAAGAAAATGTTAACCGAGGACAAAAAACAAACACACAAACGAAAACGACTAGCACCAGTATTTTCATTCCGGAGCTGCTATCAAGTTTATATGTCACGTGACAAGTTACATTATATGCGCCGTGAGCGCAGGCGCCGGGCTCGGTAGCATTGCGGAGTGATACCGAAACGTTTCACGTGTAACGCAATTGCCCTGCAATTCACTACAATCGTTTTTTTTTTTTTGTAAACATACACCCTTACCTTTTTAGTACAGTAAAATGCTTCGCCAAAAGGAAGCTTTGATGAACAGTTTTATATCTCTTTGTTCACCTACTACTCGATAGTCGATGACAGGTCAAGAAGAAAGCGGATGCTCCTTCCACCTCTTTCCGCTATAGCAGAGCGAACGCTGGTGAGGACGTCACCTCCACTCCAGCGTTCTGTCTGCAATATTAGGCGAGGTGGGTGGGGATTTCACTTTGATCTTCACTTGTCTCCGACAAAACACACATTTTATTACGCCCATTTATGCCCACATTGCGCTTAAAAGTCCCCGTCAGTTAATGGTGTGAAACGGACACTCTCGTCGTGTGCGCAATACCCAGCGATATGCTGTTCATGCGGCGCCGTATGGAAGGTGGGAACTGTGTTTGTTTTGTGCAACGGCTAGCGCTTAGGGATAAAAATAATGAACGTTTTATGGAAAGTCAAGGGCAGTGATTCTAACTTGAGAATAAGCTTGCTATTAATACATAACAAAAATGTTCCAATCTCAGTAACTATTGTTTTATCACGTGACCCGGTTGTTATGATGGAGACGTCTATCAAAGGGCTTCCTCGGGAAAGTGTTCAGCGCAAGGGTCAGCGTTGTTTTCGAAGCGTACTACGTAATCTAGTTACCTTTTTGTTGTTCTGATATACATATATACAATAGTAACCTCTCTTTCTTTTATTTGTCAGTGGATCCGCAGCAGTACAACTTCACCCTGAATGTGGTGACCCAGAAATATGAAAATGGAACAGTTGATCTTATATGGTTGCCAGACGAAGCACCATTCAATGAGTCCCAAGATAATACAAGTTGGCACCATAACAATAGCGTTCACATTACCCTGGCTGGATACTTTTTGACTCTGAAATCTGTGGAGGAAACACTGAAGGCAACATTGGAAGCCTCTACCATAAAGCACAGACTCCCATCACTCAAGCCTTGGACTGAGTACGAAGTCATATTACGACCGTTTTGCACAAAGACTGGCAAAACGAACGAGATGTACAAAATTGGAAAAGCCTCAACGACCAAGTTCCGTTCTCCAGCAGCAGGTGAGTCTTTTCTCCCAGTTTAAATCACAATTGAGAGCTTGTAGCATATACATTTTACAGTGAAACTGTAGCCAAAGATGTTGAAAATTTAATAAGCCTTATAATGAATAATAAAATGTCAACGAGGATACAAAATAGGTTAAGATGCATTCATTGTCTGAAAGTTGAAGATCATAATGTAATAAGTAAATAAATTCAAGAACATTTGTACGCAGAGTGCTAGTGACCAGCATAATCTTGATATTGAAAACGTAACTCTATATTAAATGTACATTCAAATCCTTAGTAATTTTATTTTAAGACTTGTTTCTGTTCGCTTTTTGAAAAAAAAGCACAAAATAACTTTGAAGAAATATTTTGAGGACTCTTGCAGCCCTACCGAGCTGAATGCGAGATAGCGGCGTATTCGACCGTACACATGAAGACGATGAAAGGATACTGAATTTTACAGGAAAGATTGTTATTCATTTTGTTACAAATTATTACAAAACATAGTTACTGAGAGTAGAAGAAATTTATAGGGTTCAAAGGAACACACAGGGGAATTGAACAATTTAAGCAACATTTAACTCAGCATAGCAAAGCCATAATTCGTTCTGCATCTGGGCTGTGAAGATAGAAATTGTTTTTCTTGATCCATAGGGGTTAGATGAGATACATATGTTACAAAACTTGAAAACGAAACTTGAGTACTTTACACAATATTTTTTTACGGGCATAACCAGATTGAAATAAAAATGTTTCCAGGCATATTTTTAAAGTGTAAAGGCCGGTTCAGACACTTGAGTTTGTGTGCGTTTGACTACGTTGCGTCGAGAACCGAAAGCGACTCACCGGCACATCTGTGCGTCGTATGAAGCGTGGAGTCCAATTCAAGGAATCATCTTGACACGCGACATAAGCAGCAGGGATGTCCTGCTTTCTCGCAGCCGCAACGCAGTCAAACACAGTCAAACGCAGTCAAACAGAGTCAAACGCAACTGTCTGAACCAGGCTTAAGTATTTCTACCCTCTCGGGGAATTGTAATAGGTCTAAATATTTTATTTTATGAACTAATCAATGTTTGCGTATTAGATACTGTAGTATCTTCCAAAACAAACAATAGCTTAGGTTTAAATAAAGAAAAGAGGTATAATACAAATTATCTTCGTCTTCATAGTTAAAACATCCCCATGACAAGAAGTAACGCCAACTATTCTGGAAAGGGCAATGCAAAGCTAGTTTATATGGGCATTCCATGTTAATGCAGCAGAAAAATGCATGTTAATGCGGCAGAAAAAAAAACCCAAGGGATCGAAAATTTCCACGTACTCGATTACAGCATTATTCAAAAGTATAACAAGTGGATTAATTATGTAGGTTTAGAAAGAGTTATATCCGTAAAAACAGGGGACGGGACAACACGTATATAACTCTTTCTAAACCTACATCATTACCAACGCGCTCACTAAGAAGTGGATTAATTACCAGCTTTCCTTTAGGGCGAAAGATTATTGATTTAGTTTTATTTTTGTTTATCTTAACAAATTTAAAAAATGACCATCGTATTAATATTATCAATACATTGTTTGCAATGAGGTTCAGTTTTTCCATATTAGAAGAATTTAAAAAAAGCTGGTGTAGTGTGCAACGTATTTTGCTAAAGGGATAATGTTCGAAATATAATTTATACACACAGTGAATAGTAGCGGCCCTAAAATGCTGCCCTGAGGGACTCCTGTCCAAGTTTGAAAGGTATTTGACGGACAGTGATTCATAACAACTTATTGAAGCCGCGAGCTCCAATATGACTTAACAAGATTGAGGGCATGCTTTCGTACACTGTAATGCTCTAGTGTAGCGAAGATTATTTGATGACTTATGGTATCAAACTCTTTATCAAACGCCTATGTAGCCACTAGGTAAGGGCCTTAGCCCTTACCTAGTGGTGGCCTCCGGTATGCTCCTCACTTCTCTTCCGACGAGTGTTACTATGCTTACTTTTTCCTCGTCAGTTTTACAACGCTGGCCTGCTACGCTATGTGAATGCTCGAGTAACTGATTCACGGCTCCATACAAGCCTCGTTTGCCCCTCCATTTCGACCGTAAACCAAACGTTCCCGTTCTTCATGAGGACACCTCTACTCTCGGTGCTGGTTGTGTTGATGTCCCTTCGTGACAGTCTGACCACTAATTTGCCTTTTACCGCTACTCTTCGCTCTCCAACTGTCTTTGTCTAGACCGACTCGTTGCAGACTGTCCACGTCCTACGTCGTGTTACCTGCTCCTTGTGTGTGTCAACGGACTTTTATGGGTTTGCGGTGTAATGCCCTTGCCCGGTGCGATACAGCTGGACTCGCTGTTCAAGCGTTCCTGCTCATGCCGCGGAAATCCGACTGCCTGTCATCCTCAGGCGGTGGTCTACCCGCATCCTCTTCTTAAAAGCCAACCTGCATAATTGTCTTCTGAAGGGCAGAAAACCGGTTCGCAGTTACCTTTTCTCCAATCTCTTTCGCCCTCTTCTCGTCCCCTCACCCCACAAGAACGGGTCTTTGAGCTACTCCCCGCAGAAAGGAGGGTGTTATCACTGTTTCTAAAATTGAAGGGAGGAATTGAGTGAGAGTTTCCTCCTTTTTGGTTGCTCGTTGTTCTTTTAGTTGCCGGCAATGGATACGAGTCTGCGGCACACCACACGAGCTTTCCTCCGTGTGTTTCTAGCATCCCTGGGGGTCTTACCCGCCAACAATGAGTTCGTGTGAATACAGCGATCACACTGGCTCTCCGCGCTAGATGAGGTCACATCATGGCATCCACCTGCTGTCCCTTCTGTCTCGCCCCAGTCCAAGAGGCGCATATCGAGCACTTCCTCAGGACGTGTCCGGGCATTTAAGGGGCGCGTTGGCGCCATCTTGGACGGTATTTCAGGGGCCTCCCGGCTATCAACGTTGGACACATTACCAGCACGATGTTTTAGTTCTGTACGTTTTCCTGGAAACCGGAGTTAACTTTTACCTTTTATCCTATGCCGCACATCAAAGGAATGTAATTGAGAAAAAAAAATAAAACGTATAATTTCCAAAGAGTGAATTCATCAGCAACAGCGAATCAATCAAAGCGTTCGAGCAAAGCACATGGAAGCGAGACGTTGGAGTATTCACTTTCTGTTAACAGCTGTCACGTGCCGCTCCTAGTTGCTCATGATAAGTAATGAAGGATCTAAATTTCGCGTTTTGTCAAGTTTTATATATATATTTTTTAACTTGGGATCCCTTAAACTTTTTTCTATTCATATTAGCAGTATCGTAGCTTGAAACATTTCAACCGCCGTTTAATTTTTTCACCCTACCATTTCCCTGTACTCACAGATATTCCTAAATATTTTTTTCTTCAAAACATTGCTCTAATATTTTGAAGGATCGAGTAGTCAAGCAACATAATCAATTACATATTTATCGCATTATTTATAGCTTAGTGAGGTTAAGTTGCAAAGGTATTGCTGCATTTTTGACCCTTGAAGCGGGGAACGGGAAATATTATCATACTCGTTCAGTGCATTTCGTCTTTTTTGAGCCTCGATAGAACTATTGTCGATCACCAATGTGCTATAATGTGTGAAAGACAGTTTTTAGGAGGGATTGTTTCAATTCCTTGGAAGTCATCAAACTGTCGATTCGAGAGTGCAGAACCTATAGTGTATATCAATTGTGTCGAAACTAAATTTGTGTCTCAGGTAAACAAGGGGGGACGGTGGGGGGTGGCAAGTGGATAGTGATGGGGAGGGAGGGCAGAGCCGGAGGAATGACGGGCAAGGGGAATGGGAGGAAAGCAAGGAGGGTGCGGGTGGGGGAGAGAGTGGGAGGGAGTAGGAGGAGCAAGAAGAAGGACAATGTAGGAGGTTAATTAGAGGAATTGGGAGAGAGGGAGGAAGAAGGGCGGAGAGAGGTATAGAGAAATGGAATTGGTGTGTCACGTTAGAAATATTTTCTCTACAAATTTATCCTCGAAACTTATTCGATCTGAAACACGACCGAGGAGGTGTGGGGGAAGGAAGGACTGGCGTAGCGAGGGTATCATAGAAGAACAGGGGAGGGTGAGAAAAAAAGGAAGAGAATGATGGAATTGGATGTAGGTGTTGAGGAAGGGGAGAAAAAGAGAGAGCGAGGAAGAGAGAGGAAGGGAATTTGATTTAAGTGGGAAGGGAGGGAAGAGGAAGGGCGGCCGAAGGGAAGGGATCCAGATGGTGAGGACAACATAGGAGGGGGGCACGTTGGAAGACCAATGGACGTGATGAATAGGAAGAGGGAATGGAGTAATATGTGACGTATATCTTCCCGGTGAATTTAGCGGAAAACTCAATTGGTGTATAGGTCCCATGTAATCGGGTTTTTGGAACAACTAGAAAAAGCATGAATGAAAAAAAAAGCATAAAGCATATTCCTAAATAATCCACTATTGCTGTATAAAATTGCGTATTAAAAAATGAAATCAACACATTTTTGTGGCTAATTTGTTGCCACAAATTTTACAAATGCCTTTCTCGAATGAAAAGCTAAAATCTCTTGCAGCAGCTACAAAGGTTCAATATCAACTTTTAGTCAACTTTCTTGGAGTCAAAATATATATTTATGAACATACTGATTTGCGTTCATTTCCGACGTTGTTTTGCAGCTCCACCACGTCCAGTGGACGTCAAGGCTTATTTCTGGGACCTCAGTCCAAGGGAAGTTTATTTGAACGTTTCTGATTCCCACAACCGGCACGGGGAACGCGCCGGACATCGAGTGAGGTGGAAGCTTCATGGAGATGGAACATCCGTCGACGGAGACGGTCAAGCGGACTTTGGAATCTATGAAACGTTATTCGAGAATGAAAACTGGCTTTACATTACCCTTCCACCTGGACGACTCTACACGCTATATATTTCAGCACTAAATAAAGGGTTAAACGGCACGGTTATTGCTGGAGAAGAGCTCGAAACAGAAGTGGCCACAGTACCACTGGGTAAGCTCAATTCCTTTACATATTACCTACGTTTCTAGGCGCCCTAACGTTTCAGCGAGAAACAGTGCACACATTATTTCTTCTGAGAGTATTTCCCCGCAATGAATACTCACGCCGCATTTAGGTAAGCAAGTTTTACAAAGCCGCGGCAAAGATGTTTTATTGCGTCAGTATTCGCGGTAAATACTTTTCTTCCGCAAATGGATACAGTAGCCAACAAAATATGATTTCTACAATAGTTAGGACCTCTAGGATTTCCTGAGACATTATGCATATGTATGACTCGTATGATACTGTCTTAAGTTTATTTATAAAATTAAACTCGTGTTTGTAAACTTTAAGTGCATGATTTTCATAAGAAACAATTCAGCTCTAACCGAGAACAGAGTTACCTTAGATTTAAGGTAACTTTATTATGTAGCAGCGAAAAATATCCCAACGACAGAGAAAAAATCTAAAACAAGCGAGATTACGTTCCTTATAAACGTGAACTTCAGCAAGGCTTACAAGCCCTAACGTATTGCTTTGAAAAGTAGCTGGCTTTAGGATACGTTTCCTCATCCGAAACGCTTTTTTATCATATTAACGCCACTTGAAACCTTCTTTGTCGTAGGCAACAACGTCACGTGGAGCAGATATCAGGAAAATTACTTCAAATGAAAGCGTTGAGAGTTTAAAAAGCGCAGGGTGTGGTGTGTCACGAGCACCTCGAAATTGCTCTGCTGCCAATCAAATTGAGGCGTCAGCAGTTTCGAATGTCAAAGAGTGAATCACGAGGAAAGAAGCCGAAACATAATTAGCAACGCCATGCGTTTGTGAGGCTGTCGATTGCTATAGTCGTATAGTAAATTTGTATATTTTGTTGCTTGCATTAGTAGGTTTTTGGGCGTATCTATTAAAGAGGTAAAAGTGTATGCTTAGAACTCAGGCGCTTTTACTTCGTGTCATACAAAGTGCTAAACGCTTTCGGAGACATTCGCGCGATCGCTGACACTAACGCCATTCAGTGACTGCTTCCACGCAAAGACATTGAAATAGTAAATCGCTACAACCTACTTATTGTAGCTCAGTTAATGGCGATGCCGCAAATATTGTCGTGGATTCAAAAGGATTGACGGCCTTCAACTGAAAATAAATATTTATTCGGCAGTCTGGTTACAGAAACCAAACCAAAATATAGCTTCAATAGAGCAACAGCCAAAGTCGCGGCTTCGGTGTGATAACTCGCTGACGCGACACTGCTTGAGAGTATAGACCGTTCCATTTAGGACTCTCTGGGAGGCGCCATTTTGTTAGACCGCAGCGCCCTCTCCCTCCATCCGGGAAGTTCAGCAGGCTCGGCGGGGTAAAACGAGAGAGAGGCCACGCGCCCGAGTCTGCCAGCAGACGACAAACCGGGAGCTTGCCGTTCTCCATCCTTGGGCTGTACCGGCGGGCTGTACCAAACATCGAACTCTCGCTCGTGGCTGCCGTCATGAAGTGGTTCGCGTTCTTAGAATATTTATGGCTGCTCCAAAATCACCCTTTAGCGCTCTGTAGTTTTATTTCTGTAAATGAACAATAGCGTATCTTTGTTTCGTTACTTCAATAGCAGTGGAGCCATGCAGCCGGAGCCTCAACAACTGCGTCATTGCGCCAGGAGAGCACGTTTTTAATTATTATTTCAGACTTCCACGCATGGTCATTAAAAGCCTACACCAGTACGAACTTTATATATAGAAAAGGTACAATAACCGGATTTACTTTTCGACGGAAAGACCGGCTAATCTGACACACTTTTCCCACTTCTGTTTTATTTGTCCGCAGGCAACAGCGCCATCAGACCGGGTTAACCTTTTAATGAGCACAGTATTACACGATAACTTGCATACCAAAATCCGCACATCTGCGCTTGAAATTTCCAAAACGACGCAGTTTTAAACCGAGTTTGCACTCCAGCCGGGTGTTAGGTACAGCCCACTCGGGGGAGCAAACGACGCGCAGGGTGAGAGGGGGAGGGCATTTTTTCTCCCTCCGCTCTTCCTAGTGGCACGGTCTATAAGTCGACACGGCCACGCTCGACTCCTTATCTACTGCAATCTGTATCTCGAATATTGGATCTGGACTTCGCTAAGGCGAGACTGACTCGGCAAGGTCATTATGGCCTCTTTATAATTTACACTCGCGTAAAGGGTAAATTCGAAACTTCTAGAAGTACGGAGAAGAGTTCATTCTCTGTCATGTACGCGACATTCTGTTTAGAACCGAAGAAAATTATTGCTGTGACAATTGAGTATGACGTATGACCTGCTTACGTCGTGTGCCGTGTCAGGGCGAAATTTTTTTTAACATACTTTTAGTTGTTTTATTCGCTCAGCTCTCAATAGCTACTTTCACATATTGCTGCGATTGGTCTGTCTATTTGGTTTGCAGAAAAACAAACGCACATAATTATTTTGAGAGTACAGATTACAACATTTATTTATCACATGCATTTTCGTGCTGAATTATACTAGTCAAACCGTGGACGAGTTCTCCGTGGTAAGCGTTTAAAAGAAACTACATAATTCTCTATTCGGTTCAGCGAAGTTTGCTTGAATCTATCAAATGTCATAAAGGTTGCCGCTTAGGTTTTAAATTTGGCGATAGCTTAGAGAAGAATTTGAGTAAATTTATTTTCCTTCTTGCTCTCGGATTTTGTAGTAATATACGCCGAAGTGGCCTCTAACGTTAATAATATTAAATAAAAGAAAATATTAGATAGACGTTTGTACATAATAAAATTTAAGTTTTTTGGTCAGGTATTTTTATACTTTTACACTTTTTGAATATTGACGGCAACACCTGTTGGCACCGCTGTTGTACATCTCAGCTAAAAAAATTAAGAAACCGATTAGCGCGGTCCGTTCAAATGACAGCGAACTTTTTATACGTGCTCTGTGTTATTAAAATAATATAATATAGCGTTTCTTTGGGTTCGAAAAAAAATTTCTAAAAATGATCTCCTTGTCAATGTTTGACGTTCTTCAGGCAATTGTCAGAAAACTCCCGCAAATATAATATGATTTCGAAGTTACGTGATCATATCGATTACTGACTCTAACATGCCACGAATAATAATAAAAAAAAAAACAAGCAAGTGGGGATCACTTACCTTGGGTGTTTGTGGAGAATAACATAGAGGACGAAAACAGGACGACACGTTTTCGTCTTACCTTGGCTTTTCCTTTTTTTCATGGATATGGTTAAATACAGCTGCTGTTAAAAAAAATATTCGTTTTTGTTTTGTTAGCGATTTTAGACGTAATAGAGCGGGGTTTTAATTCAAGTGCTCTTTTTATGATAAAATAAAGTTATCATTCATTATCTAAATATACAATATTATTGCCATTGCAACGCGCGGCTATAAATATTAATATTGTGACTATGGGATACTGAACGAAACATTATTTTTGTGAGAAAATTTCCAGAATTGATGTCCGTGAAACATTTTTCAATTCCGTTTCAGAACCTGCTGATGTAGATGCGCTGTCCATGGGACCAAGGAACGTTAACGTGATCTGGCGTTCAGTTGGATTCTCGGATATTTTCCTGGTGAGTGTTGGGTGTTAGCGGCTGAGGCACTATATGCTGCTATCTTCGCCTCTTATAAAGATGTTGATTTTATATTTTATTGGATTAAAAACTTGTCCCGTTTACATCGATATGTTCATAGGATATTTAGGTTACTCTAATCATGGAACTTTTTTGTCACGTCAAGGGGTTACTTTTTCAAGTCAAGGAAGGCTTGTTCTGGCATATTTGCTTTACTTTTGGACACATATTTAACCTATCTCTCATGAAGTGTACTTTCCCTAATTTGCGGAAGTCTTCTATAGTTGAGCTTATATTCAAGGGCTGGTGATCCGTCATTATTTCGTAACTATCGTCCTGTTCCGTTATTTTATGGTTTCGCGAAGGGTTTCGAAATTGTGATGCATAACCGGATCTCAAATTACCTTAGTCAAAAAATTAGTCCCTTTCAGCATGGTTTTATTAAAGGGAAAGTTTGTTGAAACAGATATGTTCTCTTTTCAAGATTTTTCTGTGCCCATAGTCACAAACAGAGGCCATATCGATGCCGTCTACTTTGTGATGTCGAAGGCCTTTGACCGTGTACATCACACTTTACTCCTTTGCAGACTTTCTTTTAATGGCACGTGCCCAAAGCTTTGTGAACGGTTCGGGAGCAATTTGAGTTAACGCAATAATACTGTTCGTGTTGGCAACCCTTTTTCAAAGCGTTATACATCAACTTCTGGTGTACCCCAAGGTTCGAACCTGGGACCGCGGTTGTTTATTTTGTTTGTAAACTATACAGCTTCATGTGGCAAACACTCGAATGTTCTTTTTGCTGACGAAATAAAGCTCTTATTAAATGTTAAAGCTGAAGTGATTGTAAACTATTGCAAACTTATATTGGTGCAATTTGAGAGTGGTGTAGAAAAAATCCTTTGTTTTTAAATACTGAAAAAACTGAATTGATTTCTTTATCAAGCAAGCGGGACGTTTTCTTCTACCGTTATGTACTTGAGGGAAATGTGATAGATCATGCATCTCTGGTGAGAGACATCGGCATCCATATTGACAGCACTCTAACATTCACTGCTGACGTTTCTAAGATTGTTGGATCGGCAATAAGAACGTTGGGAATGATCACTCGGTTATAAAGTTCTTTCACTTCACCATTATCTGTAGTGCACCTGTTCTGTAGCCTTGTAGGCTCAAGACCTAAATTTGCTTCAATTAGTTGGAATTCACCATTTTTAACATAAGTTGAAATGATTGAGCGTGTGCGGAAGAAATTTAATCGTTTTATTTAAGACCGATACATTCCTCGGAAACGGTTTTTTAGTTACTATTTGTGGCTGTCTTTAGTTAGCCTTGAAAGGCTATCAACCAAGAGGGCTGTTAGAGACATTCATTTTTTTTCATAATGTAGTGCATGGTACTGTCAAAACTGAAAATTTACTTATGAATATAAACCTTTGTGTGCCCTCCAGAGCTAGTCGCCAAAATTAACATTTTATCTAATAAGAATTTGTGAATCATCAATATTATTCTATATGCAGTCTACCTATAATATTATATGCGATTTTGACGTGAATATTTTGCTTGGTTTTGTTAGTTTCAAGTCGGCCATGCAAAACGTATTTTATGCAACCAAGAGTTAGCGTTGCTTTGCACACTTGTATTTGTGTCTTTACAAATGTCTGCGCAGTTTTGTGCATGTTTGTATTTTAAATAGTGTTGCTGTTAACATGAAATGACAGTACACCACACAAAAGGCGTTACAGCTGTTTGTGGCCACTGAAGAAAAATAAAACATAATTATCGTTAGGAAAATCAAGACTGCAGTGTTTAAAACCCCAGCGTTCGGCGTTCAAAGTTCATCACCATTCGTACTTTTTCTCGCGCCTTCTTCCTGTCCTCCTTTTCGTCGTCTTCCCATTCTCAGCACCGGCGCAAAATTATTATTATTACTTTCTTGATGTAAAATTAGCCGCAAGAGGCGCGCTATGAATGCTTCGGGGGAACCGATCAGACTAAATGAAGCATTTCTAGCAGTTGGAGCCTCAGACATTGCAAAGCATTTGTGAAATTTTGAATTAATTCTAGCAATTCAAAGGGCACCGTTGACAGCTGACGCCATCACCAGCTTCACCAGGAAGATATATGAGGAGGCCGACAAGCGCGAGATGACCCTGCAGTACTTTGGCGCCCCTAACTTGGTAAACGGTGAAGGCTACGGCCCCATTCAGCAAAGCATTACGTCAGAGAAGGACACCTGACTATAGTGTCTCTCACTAGCTCCACGCAGTGCTGTCAAGGCCAGGGCGGCAGAGAACAGCAAGCCGATTTTCGACGAATTCTGATTGGTGGGCTAATATTCTAGGAACAGAAAAGTGACGCCTGGTGCACACTAAATGGTTCGTGTAAGAATGCAATCCTGCCTTATTTTTTTACTGCTTGGTTTACAGTCTCGCCCTTACAACTTTGGTAAGATCGGCACATGCTTCGGCCTTGCCGCCCTGATGACCTCGAAAAGGCAGTAGCATTTGGACTTCACCAGTTTACGGTGGAACGAAGTTTAGAAGCTGTCCCTAACGAACAGTGACCTCCCCCAAAAATAATTTTTGTTGTTGAGTATTTGTACCGGGCACTATGTTAAAAAATAATATTTCCCGCCCAAAGAAAGTTGTTTTGTGCAATATTTACGAGGCGGGAAATATTTCAAAGTTGGATCGACTTTGATGTTCTGGCGCGTTGACCAGAAATCAAAGCGTGATCGGAGTAGCTTAACAGCGACACTGAACACCGAAACTTTTTTTTACAGATGCATAGATTGCATACATGTGTCAGAAAAGAAACTTTCTCATCCCCCCACCCCCCCCCCCCCCCCCCAAAAAAAAAAAAAAGAAAAGGTAGCGCGCTTTTTAAGTCGTGCGACTTATTTCGAGTGAAGATAGATTCAGAGATGGTGTTCTAAATTCGAACGACTCCCAAAGAGAAGCGCCAAATAGAAGCAAATCGAAATTTTCAAAACGAGTCTCACGACCTATACATTGTGTAAAACGTTTTTCTTTGGGATGTGTTTTTATAACACAGGCTGTAAAAGTTTACAAAGAAAATTTTGGAAGAAAATATTTTAGCGCAGTACTATGGGACGAGACTCGACTTATAGGTTTCGAAACATGCTTTTATTTTGGGGATGTTTTGCTATAAAAACCGATTTCTTAGGCGATCATAATTAATCACATGATGCCAAACAAATCGGCCTTGTTATCTGAATCTCTGAACTAGGACCTAACGTCTGGACAGCCCCCGGCAGAATCGCGGATTGTAAACCTGCCGGAATTATTTCGCAGACTTGATTAGGCTTGTTGGTATCGGCAAAGCTAGCGGAGCTCAACATGACTATTAATTTCCTGTCGGCAGTAATTCATCCGCTTTTTAGTCCTCACGTGTATACTTCTCGTCCAGTTGGCTCTATCGAGCGCTGTACTCTCAGAGACATCACTCGACTGTCACTTCCCAGTATTTAGCTTCAGAAATTGAGAGGCAAGTATATTTGGGGTTCTGTTCTAAGGATTTAGCATTTTCGTCAATAAATATATATTTCTAATATATAAACAGTAGTGGTTAAAACTCAGACATGATAAAAAGTGTGCAATTATATTGTAAGGACGTTTATTCCAATTCACACGCGTAATATCTAGGGGCATCGAGGCAGCTGGCTGACGAAGCGACCGTTGATGTGCTTGCTGACATAAACGAAGAGTCTCGCGTTAGCTCCAGCTGGCGTGAGCTTGCTCTCGTCCTGCGTGCTGTGCCAACACCTTCTAGACAGCTCTCAAAGCCTGCGCGTCACGTGACGTGACTTCACGTCCCGGAGGCCTGCACGGGCGCTGAAAGAATGCGAGTGCCGCGTCAGCGTTTGCCGCGGGTCTCGTTTCCTATCATAGTCCCACGCGAAGGCTGACGCGGCACTCGCATCCAATCAGCACCCGTGCAGGCTTCCGGGACGTGACGTCATGTCACGTGACGCCCCTTTGCTTTCAAAGCTGTCTAGGAGGTGTCGGCTGTACCGACCGGCTCACGCTACGCGGCGCACTAACATCAACATAAGAACCTATATCCTGTCGCCTTGTGTTATTTTTTCTCATGGAGCAGCTTTGACTAATGTTAAAACAAAAAATGAATAAACCTTTCTATTATTATAACTGGATTTATATATATCCTTACCATGGTAATGTGGCTTTTTCGAGTGTCCCGCAAATTCATTTGCAACAGCTCCGTGATGGCTCTTTTTGGAATGCATTAGAAGAACATATACATCGTGGCTTGTTTCTAGTTCCTTGACAAATATATGAAACCTAAGAGCCAAATCTTTTTGCAAAGATATATCAATTCAGCGTTGGGAGCCCCCGTGTCAGAAAGGGGTGCGTTAGAGTGCACATTAATATAGAGGGTTAGATCGAGATAATGAATCCTGGTTTTTCGTCCCTTAGAGAAAACTGCGCATCGCGGCAATCTGGAACTCAGAGAAAGTATGAAGTGAGCTGTCGGGGTAAAATGCGAAAACTTGAGCACATGACGTTACCTGAGTCGAAATATTTCAGAGAAATTTGATATCTTTCCATGACCCATTGTCCACCTTTGCCTAATATTCATCAAACCAAAAAATGACAGTGCGGGCGCCTGTAACTTTCATTTCCTTCGATAAAAAAAAAAGAACTTGATACACAAAAAGAACACAATATTTAATTTCTCGCTGAGAAGATTTTGTTTCGCTGCAATTCATTTTGCAGGCGCCGGTAGCATCATTGTTTTTGGACTGATGAATATTAGGCTTAGGAGGGCGTCGGCTCGTAGAGGAATTTTGTTGTTCCCAGATATCGGTTGATCGAGGTAATGTGATACTTTTCAACTTTGCAGTTTTTCACCACAGCTAGCGTCATATTCCCTCGAATTGTCAGGCTTCTACGATGCGCAGTTTATTTTCGCGGGCCGGAGAACCGGGTTTAATTTTTTCGATCGGGACCTGTAGGTCA